AGCTTGCACAGACGGTCGGACGGACTAACAGTCACCTGGATTTCAAATCGTCTCTTCATCCTGATAATTTATATATACAAAACTCTATATCTAACTAGATTGTGGTGATACAAGTAACTGTTAGGTAAACAAACCTATTATACTCTATAACAACATGTTGCTAGAGTATAAAAACATGTATTATTTAAAATTGTTAAATAACAACAATAATATATTTATATTAATGAACATTCTCTGTATAAAGAGTCTAATATGTATTAAAAAAAATAAATTTATGGAAACCTGAGTTTCGAATTTTTACGCTCAAAAATTTGGAATTAAAAATTAAATTTTTATTTTTTAATCCCGATGTTGGGTCCAGGATGTTTAGTATTAAGAATTTAAAATTAAAGATATTACTTTTTGATTTGAAAGAACTCCTAAAAATGTAAATTCTAAAGCAAATGCTATTTTTAATTTTAATTATATGTTTCAGATAGAAATTTTATTTTGTTTTTCAATCCGGTAGCTGAAATTAAAAATACAAAATAAATAAAAAATTTTAGTTCAAGTCTTAATTCAATTATATTTTTAATGCATTATTTACAACCCTGATAGAAGCAGTATTTTTATACCTTGAACAGGGTATATTAAGTTTTCCACAAAGTTTGTAAAACCCAGAAGGAAACGTCGGAGACCCTATCAAATATATACATAAATGATCAGCATGATGAGCTGAGTTTATTTAGCCATGTCCGTCTGTCTGTCCCTCCTTCTGTCCGTCTGTTTGTCTGTTACGCGAACTAGTCCCTCAGTTTTTAAGCTATCGATCTGAAATTTTGCTCACGACCTTTTCTCCCCAAGATGTTGCTCATTTGTCGGAACAGCCGATATCGGATCACTATAGCATATTACTGCCATACAAAATGAATTTGGCATCAGTTATTTTCTAAGGCAACAATGTAATATCCGAAGAAATTGTTTAGATCGGATCACTATAGTATATAGCTGCCATACAAATTGAACGATCGGAATCAAGTTCTTGTAAGCAGCCTTTGTATTTGTGGAGGGTATTATAGCTTCGGTGCAACCGAAGTTAACGTTTTTTCCTTGTTCTTAATGACCTGACACGAAAGCAAAAATGTATGTTATAACTGTAAATTAAGCAAATCCTGAAACAGTAGTACTCAACAAGCATTAGTTGAACAAAATTTATTTTTTATTTATTCGAAGAAGAAGAGTAATAGTCCTGTATGGGATCGAATCGTATCAGTTTTTACTAAGTAGCCCCCCTACAGCTTATATGCCCACTCTTTATTAGCTTTGAATATTTGTGTATGAACATAATTATTCACTTAAATAAAAGTTCACAAGTTCACATTGATACATATATTTCTGCGAGCTGTCCGTAGTGAATACAAATGGATGGTTATTAGAAAAAAATTTTGACGACTTCATTATTATCATGAGTACTATCATTACATCGCAGATTTAATCATGCAAATAAAAGTTCACACATTATCGGCAAATTGTTTCAACGAAATTGGGGCAAGACGAATTTTTGATATATATGTGAATATATTTTTTGTTCATTTAAGGGTATATTAGGTAAAGTAAAAAGTTCGTTCGGTTTTTTATTGATTTTTCAAAAGATGATAACTTTGTGTACATTTTTCCGATTTAAGTCAAATATGCGCCGTTTTGTTCGTAAACTTGTTGCCAACGAGATGCCAACTTCATTTTACCCCTCTCGTAGAAGACTGCGTCCATATTGCCAAAAAACTCGGAGAGCCAATTTTCACAGGCCTCTTTTGAGGCCAACTTCTCACCATTAAGCGCGTTTGGCATGGACAAGAAAAGATGGTAATCACTTGGTGCCAGGTCCGGACTATAAGGTGGGTGCACTAGAACCTCCCATCGGAGCTCCAGGAGCTTCTGGCGAGTCACCAAAGACGTGTGTGGCCTGGCGTTGTCCTGATGGAACACAATTCGGCCTCTGTTGATCAAAGATGGCCTCTTCTGGATGAGTGCTGCCTTTAAGCGGTCCAGTTATTGGCAGTAGAGGGCCGAACTGAGCATTTGGCCATAGGGGAGCAGCTCGCAGAGGATGATTCCTTGCCCATCCCGCCAAACACACAGCAAAACCTTCCTGGCCGTCCATCAGGTCTTGGCCACCATCTGGGCCGCTTCCCCGCGCTTTGACCACGACCGTTTGCACTCGATGTTGTCATAAGTGACCCACTTTTCATCGTCAGTCACAATCCGCTTCAGAAACGGGTTGATTTTGTTGCGATTCTGCAGCGATTTGCAGATGGAAATTCGGTCCATCATGTTTTTTGCGTTAGTTCGTGTGACACCCAAACATCGAGCTCCTTTTTGAATCCAAGGTTATGCAAATGGTTCCAAACGGTTTTCTGGCTTAGCAATTAAATAAGTGCTCACGTGACGGTCTGTTTCCACTATTTTCATGATTTTATCGCAATTTTCGACGACAGGCCTCCCGACGCGTGGTGCATCTTTGACATCGAAATTACCGGAACGGAACCTAGCAAATCACTTTTGTGCTACACGTTCGTTTACAGTATGGGGCCCATAAACTAAATTAATGTTTTCAGCCGCTTTGGCTGCTTTTTCGCTTTGATCGAAGAAAAATTGTAAAATATAACGAATTTTCTCTTTGTTGGTGTCCATCTTTGACGAACGCTCACAACGAACTGAGTAAATTAATCGAAAAACTGTCAAAGACAAACTTTTAGCGCGAATAAACACGTTTTCAGCGCCGTATAGTATGACATGATGCGACACGTAACACTAGTACTATGGACAATAACGTAATCTCTTAGATAAAAACCGAACGAACTTTTTACTTTACCTAATATTAGCATAAGCTACACACATTACCTATAATCCCTATTGTTATGTCAGCAATTATTGCTTATGGTTATCTTAACCAGATTTTAAAAACAAGCAATTAAAATCATTTCATTTCCGTGCTAGCAACAAGAAAACGGCAATAAATTTTCAGAATAGTGACTTTATTAGAAAAAGTAATTCATTTCATTGTATTTTTCAACTGAATTGCATATTCATTACTTACGGAATGAATGTTAGAAGGTACGAGGGCAGTTCGACAATCAATTAGACATACCTCTCGATAGTGCTACTATCGCCAGAGAAGTATACTATAGTGTAGTATACTCGCGTAGATACTGTGACCAATATTCATAATTTCGTATTGACAGAGTTCTTAAATAATTGGCTCAAAAGATTGCGGAGCCATATTCTGCATGAAATTTTGGGCATGAGAAAGGTGTCAGCGTGTTAGGTGCTACGTTTGTTTTACGCTATTTAAACGCAATGTTTTTGAGTCCTTTCGTGAGCGGCGACGAAACGTGGACTTACTGGTACCCACAAACGAACCGTCGAGGTGAACTTCACCCAGCAAACTGGCTCCGAAGAAGTATAATTACGTCGCCTACGTAAGAAGGCCAAAATGGTTACTGGGTTTTAATATGCCGACTTACTGGGCCGATTTCACATCGAATTTCAGAAAAAGAAGGTTCGGTTTGGTGAAGAAAAAAGTGTTCTTCGACCGTGATAAGGCACCAACTTACACATACGCCGTTACCAATGCCGCGTTGATTAAGGTAAACTGTTAATTTGTGCCATATCTTCTGTATTCTCCAAATTCGTACTCGTGGCATTTGTAACCCAATTATCCATTTGATCCAGTTTTGGTGACAAGGTCGTTTATATTATACGAAAAATTCTTATTTGGTTTAATGAAGTTATGAGCGGTTTCAACCAATTTTTTTTAGAGCAAAACCTCATTCCGAATTCGTTGCCTTATTTTTTCGGGTATCCATTGTGATTTAGCCCGAAGGATGTAATTAGTATAAATATGGTGGAATCTCTATTATTTTATGTATAACGACTAATGTTCGAGAAATAAGTATTTTAATTGTAATATAATTCACAAAACGTCATAACATACACAGTGCCCCCTAATGTTGTATTTTAAAAAGGCGTAATCAGGTATATTAGCATAGCATTTTTTATTATTAATTTTTACTAATTCGCAATCATCTGAATAACTTACTTACGGACGGTTTTCGAAATTATAATGTGGAACAATGCAAGTGGTTCCACCAGGATCTAAAAGTTATAGAATATAAAAAAATGCATATTATCATCAATTGTTAACTAAGTTTTGATGCCCCACCCTCTATCATTCTGACAGAATGATGGCACAGACCATACAATACTTTACTGTGACGTGTAGGAAAATAACCGGTAAATTGTTCCTCTAGGCACATGGTCCATTGATAATTTTTAGTTCTCTTAAACCCGTGTGGGTTAGTGTAAAGGCCTGCAGAAAAGTGTTTTGATAGAAACAGAGGCCTGTTAAGATGACCCAACCCACCAACAAACATACATTTGCTAAGACTGAATCTTGTTAAAGGTATGTTAGTATATTCGCCGAAGTACAACGTAGGGTATCTAATAATACATAATAAAGAAGTTTTAAACGGAAAACTCAAATATATTGCAGGGAAATTGAGAATTTTTGCATTTTTTAAATTTTGGGTCACCCTTATGGTATTTATTGCATTATGCATTTGTATGTGCTCGTATATGACGTTATGTTACAAATATAAATATTCCAGCGCATACGTTTCAGCACTCCGGAAACACCAACAGCGATGCGCAATATTCCTACACCACTTGAAAGAAATAAAACTATTCTAAATAATAAATGTTCTGAGGAATTCTCGCTCATGAAAATCAGTTATCAATTAAGCTTGATGATTTTGCGCGATTGCGCTCACGCTCAAATTTTTCCTGCATGACTGCAGCGCGAGGTTAATGCGAAGACGATTGCGAAACGCCCATCACGACGTCAGAGTGAGCAGCACGAAATAAAAGCTTAATTCATTAGTGATCTCGCAGCCCAGTTGCTTAAGCAGCTAATGCAAATAGAAATGAGCATATATTTTGTTGTTGTTTTTATTGATGTTTTTATTGTTGTTGTCATTTATTTTAAACAAAATTGATAGGGCGCGTTGATAACTCGCAGCGCTAAGCGCAATCAGAGAATATGAACGTGCTGCGACAGCAGAGCGACTTGATTACTGATCGTAAACATAGCAAGGCCGCAAAAGTCGGAACGCGCACTGCTCGTACAGTTGACTGTGACACGAGAAGCCATAAGGTTGTAAGAAGCAGCCGGAAAACGCGCACCCACAACGCGATACGGCAATTACACAATACTGTGCTACTTACGGAACTTTTATTCGCATTCGATAATTTAGCAAGTGCATAGCCTAGTTAAAATGAGCGCCAGTCTCAGTGTTTTCTTGCTGTTGCACCTAATTCTGCTATTGCTCAGCTTCGCCGACGCAGCGCGCAGCATGAATCGCCAGCAGTTGAAGACGATCGAACGTTATATGGATCCGAGCGCGGACCCCTGCGATGACTACTATCAGTATGCGTGTGGTAATTGGCAGCATGTGCACCGCGATGCTGAGTATTACGAAACAATCGGTCTCATCGACTACAAAGTAGATCAGGAATATGCCCTATTATTGAATAGTATACGTCGGCGTCGGCGTTTGCGGCAGGAACACGCGTTTGTACGTAAACTGCTCGACTACTACAAGTCCTGTCTAACAGTGTACGATTACATGCCACAGTTGTATCTAGATTGGTTGCAGGAGCACGAACATTTGGTATGGCCGACAGTTTTACCTAGTCATTCCGCGAAACGACGGGGGAAAATGGTGCGCTACGATTGGCTGCATATGTTGGCCGTGCTACGGAAATATGGAATGAACTCAGTTTTCATCGAGGAGACGGTTATACAGCGACGAGACTATGCACGCGCCTCCGCCATTGATTTGGACAAACCAGTGCTAAATGGTGGGTTTCAGCCAATGCCATATAAGGGCTTCCTATTGATCATGGAATATTTGGGTGTGACGAATGAGGAACGGAAGAGCAAACTATGGGATGAATTGCATGAGTTCGAAACGAAGCTAAAGAGTTTAGATTTTGTGGAGGACACAACGGAAGAGGGACAGGAGAGCGCGGCAGCACAGCGCGAAACTACCTTAGCAGAGCTGAATATGCCATTTTTGACGCGCTACTTGGATATCTTGCTAGAGAAGCCGGTGGATCCTTACATGAAACTGACCATACAAAATCTGCCATATATGCGCCTACTTCTTACCGTATTGGACGAGCATGAACCCGAGTTCATATGCCGCTATTTGATGCTGCGCTTTCTCTGGTATCTAAATATCGACGGGCCGCGCAACTTTCTTAAAGGTGATTGCGTCTCACATACACGCAGTATGATGCCGCTGGCTATGACCTGGCTGTACGAACGCCACAATCCGGAGCTCATTGATGAAAAGTCACACATTGAAGCGCTTTTTCAAAAATTATTGCAACATTTTACACAAACACTACACAGCAATGCCAATCAATTCGATGGTCACATCTTACGTTTCTTGCAAGACAAAATTGACACGATGCGCATTAAAGTCGGCAACCTCCCACGCCCTGCCACTAGTCGGTTAGTGGAGGAGTTCTACGCTGAATTGCAAATTGAGGCAAAAGATTTTTATGGTAATCACTTGCGCTTACTGCAACACTTCACCCGCGCCAAACATAACCGCTTAAATGAGTTACTAGCACAGGACGACTCATTCTTTCACCTCGAGGATCCCGAAACTGGCGCTAGCTCTTCACCATACTATCTGCTGCGCTCAAATATAGTTATTGTACCGTTAACGCTGCTGCACACGCCTATCTATCATCCACAAATGCACGAGATCTTCAAATACAGTTCGTTGGGCTTCCTTTTGTCGCACGAGATCACCCACGGCTTCGATGACAGCGGCGTCGAGTTCGACAAGCGCGGCAATATGCGTGGCCCCTCCGATCGCATCAAATCGAATCACAGGTTCGATTCCAATTTGAGTTGTTTGCGTTTACGAAATCCACAAATTGTCGATGAAAAAATAGCCGATGTCAGTGGGCTGCGTTGGGCGTACGAGGCGTACTTTCAGAGCAATCAAAGCAATCCGAACGCTAATGTGCGCCCACTGCATTTCACCAGCCTATCACCGGAGCATGTTTTCTTTCTGAACTTCGCACAGTTCTTTTGTGGCTCTCCCGTTACCAGTACACGGGACCTAGAGTTTAGTGAGCATGGCTCGGATAAAGAGCGTGTCCTAGATGCGCTAGCGAACTTTGCCGAGTTCGGACGCGTGTACGACTGCCAGATAGGTAGTCGCATGCATCCACCGCGAAAATGCCAACTTTGGAGGTAGCAAAGGCATGAAGAGATGAACTCAACAAATTACTATGTACGCTTGTGTGTATTAAAACTTAATTATTGTATATACCAAAAGTTGTGTTAGTTACTATTGAAGTTAGTAAAACTAAAATTAAGGTGTAAATAGCAAATGTTTATAAAATACTAATATATAATATAAATATAATTAAAATTTAAATTAAGTAATTTAGAGCCAACGTAACCCATCGTAATTATATGTGCGTGTGTGATGTTCATCATGTCATTGCAAAATGATCATATACAGTTATATATTGAAATTATACGAATAAGCAATTACAACTATGCGCTATAAATAAAACAAAAGCTTTGTTTAATCAAATAATATAATCATAAGTGCCTTATCAATTTGTTGAAATTTGTTGCTGTAGCGACACAATCTTATGCATCGTCGATTCCATTGAAAACGAAATGTTTGTGTGGTTTTGAAACAATTTCCTGATATGTCTATATAACGGTGGATTATATACACATATACAAGTACAATAAAAGTATACATTTTTGTGTAGGTGCGACGGACCTAATGGAGGTCACCCAGCTTTAGTTTTATTTGCTTTATATTTAACATTGACAACGGATCTCGTGCTAAATTTTCACCATCAAACATTAGTCTGGAAATGAGAGCAACAGCAGCAATCTCTGAGAAATGGAACACAGAAAATATAATTTTTAAACTGTGACAGTCCAAACTGTTAAAAAAATTTTAATGTACCAAACTTGGTGAAAATTGTTCAAGTGGATGTTACAATACGGAATTTCACCCAAAAGATGGCGGTGCCAATCCTATTTTTATACGAATTCATTCACAGTTCTTCCGCACCATCTTTGAAAGTTTTATGCTCATGGCAGATTTTAACCATGACTTTACAACCCGTTTCAGTTATCTCGGATTTTTTTTTTTTGGTGAAAATTAATTAATATCAGAAAGATCGGTGATTAACCCAGGCTTCCTAGTTCGTTGGTAGGGCTGCAACCTTGGCCCACGCACCTGCCATAATAATACAGGTTTAAATCGCGAGCCGCTTGCTCCAAGGCAGAAGCCTACTGTAGCCGTCACTATCATGTGAAGCATCCTCTCTCGCAAAAGAATTGTGTTATGTGGATTGTTTTAGCTTTGGTACTTACCTTCGACTTTATTGGCTTGGGAGGCCCTGCCAGTAGCTAAGCTACCGCCGGAATCACCATCAGGATCATTGCAGTTACTAAGCCTTCTCATCCCGACAATATAACAATCGTTTAGGTGTATTACGAGATGACTGCAGAAGTTTATTGTAAAAACATGTTTCATATAAATCAATATGCCTTATTAAGTGATTAAGTGAAATTGTAAATCAATTTAGCCAATCGCAAAAAATAGTAATATACAAATCGATTTCCATTATAGCCTGTGCTTAAAATATTAACTTCGAAACCAAAAAGACTAATTTAAAACGGTATAATCATAATATGGCGGCTTTGGTAAGATATTGACCGATTTTAACCTTTTTTGTTACCAAAACACATTATATAGTATTTCGTAATATTAATACCCTCCGAGCGGACGGGTGTATTATGTGGCAAGTTTTGCCTTTCTTTGATGCTTAAGTTATCTAATGTACATAAGATTAGATTGGTCGATGGTAAAAGTTTGCATGTCATTTTAATTCGATCTCTCTCATTCTAAATGGGCGTTATAAAAATCTTATGTGTCATAATCCAAAGGATATATGAAGTTTTACTCAAGTTTTTACAGAGTTGGTAACTCTTGGTCAGAAAATAACGGACAGAGCTCATGTTTATAGACGTAACTCTCGTGGTTCTAACCTACCTTTCAAAAAGACCGTCAAATGGAGAGATGAATCACATTTGTGGTAATAATCCAGATAAACTTAGTAAAGATCACATTTCACACAGGAAAACTTTTCGGATTTCGATAAGACTATCATGAAATTGTCAGCAAAATTTGTAAATCACTGTATATCCATTAAAAGTATAGAACATTATTATAAATCATACTAACACTTACATATAGGCAACCAGCTTGATTATATAAATTGCAATTTTTACAGTTCTAATTAACAAACACCATAGCCCCGGTGCAGTTACAGGAATACAAATCAAAAGTTTTCCAATGCAATTCCAAACACAAGCAAATAAATTGCTGATTAACGCTGCCTGCAGCAAACAAATTAAAATGTCAATCCTAAAACAATGAATTGCATTGAAACAACTTGGTTAAAGCAAAATCAAGAGAATTGGCTTATGCCTTGATATTTATATTTCCCCCCTAGTAAATTTTACATGTTCGTTGAACATGTTACACTGCCCTATTTCCAATATTTTGAAGCACTTCCCTCACATATAAATAAAGCTATCCAGTTGTTTACAACTTCCAAAGCATGTAGATATCTCACTAATGTGTTACGATTCTTTCTTATTATTTCTCTACTTTATTATGACCGCCTATTTCAATCATGCCAGTTGTTTGTTCGATTCGCCACGCTTCAAGTTATTTCCGATAATAAGCATAAAATGAAACAATAAGCATAAATGATTTTATTAATTATAGCTTCTGCTAAAATTACTTTAAGAATGGGACTTCTTGGTTGACCATTTCCATAACGAGCATTTGCTTTGGAGAGAATACTTTTTTTTATTTCCCACGTTCTATTTATCTATTTATAGAGTACTTAGATAAAAATACTCAGTAAAGGTATTAGTAGTATTACGTGTAGTAATTTGCGCATTTAAGTGTTTTCAGTTTCGATAAGTTGGGTTTTGAATTGGCTATTCACAATTGATTTCTGTGTCGGGAATTATGTGATTACATGTGAGCAACTAAAATGCACTTGAGAAAAACGTGCTGAGCAAATTACGACTTATGCAAGCCGATAAAATGTTAATAAGCCATTTCATACAAATGATATCATCATACACAAACATTTATAAATGAACTGCAACAAAAAATAACATAAAATATTGTGGATTTAATCAGAAAAATTTAAATTAGTTAGCCATGTATATGTTCTTTTATATACATGTGTATAGTGTTCAGCCTATTCAAAAGTACACATATTTCACATAAAAACTGGTACAAAACTGTAGAATTATTTTAATAATGCAATATCTTTTTGAATTTAACTAAAGCGACGGAAACCAATATATTCGACATTTGGGATCTGGCAAAAGGAGTAAACTATTGTATTTGGACACCGATATATATATATTAAGGTTTATTTTTACTCCATTAAATTTCTTCAATTTTCTATTAAAGAAATTTACTTATTGACCGATATTTATATATATATACACGACAAAAATCATCGAAGAGAGTGGAGGTATCATCCTTTCGATCGAAATCGACGTTTTTCCAGGAAGGTTTTGCTGTGTAACTGTACTGTCAACAATTGGACCGTCTGTTGGAAGCAATCGCCCAGAAGCCGACAGCTTTGGCCAATAGGAAAGGAATTGTGTTCCATCAGGGCAACGCAAGGCCACACACATCGTCAGTGAGTCGCCAGAAGCTCGGTTGGGAGGTTCTTATGCATCCACCCTATATCCAGACCTGGCACCAAGTGAATACCATCTGTTTCTGTCCATGGCGTACAATTTTGCTAGTGAAGAGTTCGCTTCAAAAGATTCTTGTGAAAATCGACTGTCCCAATTGTTTGCCAATACGAACAAAGGCTTATATGAGAGAGGCATAATGAAATTACTTTTAAAATGGCAACAAGTTATTGAACAAAATGACGCATATTTGACCTAAATCGGATCATTCCAACTATGGTAATTAAAGCTTTCAAAAATACTGGATTTCTTTTTACTATACTTAATATACCAAAGCAGCATTCATAAAAATGTTTGACTGTAATATAAGACAGCTGTGAAGAAAAAGTTTGCCGCCAAAAACCGTTTCAACCATCTTCTAACTGGTGATAGTCTACATCTTGTAGAGGAAAGCGTAGCGCAACTGGTTCAGATTATGTTGCAAGTTGCACATAGTAATAAAACTTTCGATACGGAGAGAATACAACCGGCCATCTTTGCAAAAAAAATTTATCTATATAGTTATCGAAGTACAAATTGGAATGTGTCAGGGAGAGAAGTAAATTCACACGTAAATGTTTTTTTTTTTACATCAGTTTGGGCAGAGTTACACACCTGACCAGGGTTACATACCTATTTACTCGATACTATTCAGAATAGATTCCGTAGACAAGTTATTTAATGCTCTATAAAGAGCGTATTTTTTATATTCCAGAGCCTTTTTGATGTTGAGTACTAGTTTATGGAGGGCAGGCTCTGCGAATCTGTATGTTACGCTTTGGAGAAGCTTCCAGGGGGCGCTGATATTTTAGTAGTATGGTATCTAGCTATGGTCACACTTCTTATCTGGGTGTTCGTCGCTCCTCAATAGCATAGCTTCCAGAGAATTAGTCTTACTATGGTTGAGGGTACAAAAAGGGCTGGAGCAAGGTGTCATGTGTTATTGTATTGCAAGATGTCATGCTACCCGTGCCAAGGATCAACCTGCCTGGGGGTCCTTTAATAACCCAGTCTCGAACGGAGCTTACAAATACCGTCCGTAATAAGATAGCCTTGCTTACTTAGGGGGGGTTATGCCCAAGCGGATATACTTTCCCCTACACTCGTGGGTACAAAATTAATATAGATATAATTTTAAAAGGGTCCGGATCTCCTGTAAAAAATTCAGAGGGGCTAGTTGTTCACAGAAGAGAGCAGTGTTTGTAACGAGCTCGAGAACAGCCAGCATCTAAGGCTAGCTCCAGGAAAGCAGGCAGCATCCCTTCGCTACAAAGCGCAAGGGTATGGATCCCGGCTACCCCATCGCGGCCAGACCAGATAATGCAGCTCATAAAAATCTGCAACTCAAATCTTCTAACTGAGAGATGGAAATTTGTTAAAGCTTCGAAGACCGCGCAACGGAATCTGGTGTGGAGATGAAACGAGATGGAGACCGCACACGAAAAGTGAAGGGAAGATTAACTATGGATTGAAAAAGGTGAAGGTCATGACCTACAAGTCGGACGCCGATGCTGTAGACCACTTGGCATCTAAAACGGAGTGTGAAGTTCAGGAAGATCTAATACAGTCCTCGAGTGACGTGGAAAACACTGAGCAAGGTGAGTGTTCTTCGGTGTCTGAAATTGGAGACAAAGTCTCTAAACAATACACTCAAAGGGAGCTTCTGAGTGAATCTCAATTATTCAAATTAATCTTCACTACAGTAAATTATTTTTTCTAGCCCTAATTAATCGCAAGGCGTTAAAACAGCCTGACTTCGTCCTCATTCCGGAGCTACGGGTTAATGGAGGACGTATTTGCGGGCTAACGACACCGGGCTATAATTCATACATGGCAAACTGCGAAGGTAAAGCTAAAAAAACTTAATTTAAAGTTTTCATGTTATGTATCATCACAGTAGATAGAGCTGGTCCATGACAGCGAAGCATCCATGTGCTTGACTATATTTAGATGCGACTCCAATTCACACCATATAATATGGGACAGCACGGATATCAACTCTCTTGCTCTTTACTAAGTACTAGGCTTTTGTTATGTAACAGAGCTAATAGCCAACATTTATAACAAGAAATAAGCAGGAGATATTGGACATTACACTCATGTCAGAAAAATTAATAAATAGGTGAACCCAATAGAGAGTTATTGAAGAACACTCTCGGATAACCGCTAATTGAGTGCATAATTAAAGAAAATGTAGACAAGGTAGACAATTTCAGGAATCACGCAACAAACTGGCAGATGCACCGGCAAGAGCTAAGAAAACGTATTCCTATGCTTCCGCCATTCCAACCAGAGAATAAAGAGGATCTGGATATCCTCGTTAAACAGTTCACAGATTCTTGCCGACAAGCATTAGATGTGGATTGTCCAATAACACGTAGTAAGGGAAGAATAAGGGCACTATGGTTATCTCTCGTACTTAATAACATAGAAGATTGCAGGAAGCAATTTCATTTAGCCAAACTATCCCCAGGAGTAGGGATCCAAAGGATTTCAGGCCAATTAGTTGTTCCTCATTTCTCTTAAAAACGATAGAAAGGCTGATAGAATTACACATAAGAAGCAACCTAAACCCAGAAAAAATTTCAGTTTCACAGCATGATTTTTCTAAAGGAAAATCCACAGAAACACCATCAACTTAGTGGTAGTGGAAGTCGAAAATCTGGAGATAAACTAATACACCCTCGTAACTTTCTTAGACATAGAAGGCGCTTTCAATAACATCCAGAAAGGCCAACCTGAGTACGCTGAAAGATTTGGGCATTTCTGAGCTTCCGGGAAATTAATTGAACGTATGCCCATGAGCTGGTCAATAATTTCAACGCTGGGAGCTTCATCGATGTACAGAACTGTCCGAATGTGTACACCCTAAAGAGGCGTGTTATCTACACTTCTCTGAATCTTAACAATGGACAAAATGTTGGTAGATCTAGAAAAGAAAGCAGTACATGTTGTGGACTACGCTGACGATGTAGCAGTTTCTTATGTAGACAATATTAAAATAAATTAATCGATGGGCCGTATCGTGCGGACTAAACTTGAATGCTAGCAAAACAAAGCTAATATTTTTCACTAAGAAACACAGTATTCCAGAAATTGCGCCGCCATAATTAACTGGTACCAGGCTAGCAATAGGAATAATTTTGGAGAGGAAGCTTTTATGGAAACCAAACTTGAACGCTAGGGTAAAAAATCTAGTAACAGCACTTTACACGTGTAAAAGAATTGTGAGACCCAAATGGGGATTAACGCCTCGGGTAGCTCAATGGCTATACACAGCAGTTGTAAGGCCGATTATGACTTACGGTATATTCGTATGGTTGCCAAAAACGGAAAAGAAATACGCGGTAAGACGTATGGAAAGCATACAAAGAACAGCAAGTATTTGCATCAGTGGAACTCTCAGAACAGCGTCAAGCCAGGCGCTAAACGTAATTTTACACTTACTGCCAACAGACTTGTTTTGTCAGCCCTTAGACTGAGAGAATCCTCCCTACTAGTCGCCAGTAATAAGCGGTATTCTATGATACTTAAAAAGTTCCCGTTCCTTCCAATTACCATGGATTTCCGAAATCATCCAGAGTTGAATTTAAATTCGGTCCCCAATAGTGCCTTTCCTTTCAGTGAAGAGTAGGAATACGGAAAGCTCCAAACTAATTAGTGGGAAGTGGTGTCTCTTATGCAGATACCAAAGTCACCTTCCGTCTATCATTGTAGTGTCTTCCAAGCGGAGATCACAGCAATTAAAGAAAGTCTTCTTGTTCTGACAAGGAGTGTGCTCACAACATATATTTCCATTTATACAGATTGGCAGGCGGCTTTGGGTCACTTAAGTCTCAAAGGGTCTCGTCTAAGTTATGAATGCCTTGATCTCTTGGTAGATATAACATCTTTTTCTCGATAAACTTGAAATAGGTTCCAGGATATAGTGATATCCCTAAGAACTGTGAAGCAGGTTAACTAGCCAGAACAGACACCACCCTACAATTAGACTCCGGAAGAGGCGGAATTTATATGCATCTGGCAGGTATTTAATCGACAAATATGCTATAAGCACGGTTGAGTCTCGGTGGAATCAATCCTTGACTTTCTAACCAAGCAGGCAAACGTGGCATAAATGGAATATGAGCCACAAATGCCGACTATCAAAATTTAGGAGTACTAAACCAATAGATTAGAAACTTCATATAATGACTATTGTAGAAGCTGTCGGGAGGTAGAAGAGGAAAAGACTATTAATATTCTCTATACGATTGTGAGGCTCTATATAGGAAAAGAATCGCAACTATCGGTCGAAGGTTTCTTGACGACGTCTCGGAGTTTGCAAAGATAAAACTTTTCGTATTGATGAACTTCATCAGAAGCACGGGGTGGTTCAAAGAGGAACCAATACAGTGAAGCGATTTTAGTCTCGGTGGTATTACAATAGGCCTCCTAACGGCCTAGGTGCGTCGCTACTCTATATACCTACCTAATCCCAACATCCGAAATAAAAAATTAAAATCTAATTTTTAACTCCAACATCGGCATTAAAAAATTAAAATTCGCAACCCTGGTTTTGACAACCCTTGGTTTGCCGCTATAGCAATCATAATTACGCCCTTTGTCATTCCAGGGTTATAAATTTGCAAACACAGAATTTCAAATTTGCATTAAAGGTGGTAAAGGTCCAAAGGATACGAATGAATTGTTTTAGTTTAACATTACAAAATCATGTGCTATTTAGTTATCTGTTAACTAATTTTTTAGGTTGACAACACTACATCTTCGAATTACAACTTCAACTGAAATTAGTTGAAATTTGTAATGTCAAAAAAAGCTTATTGTATTAAAGTTGTATTCTTTCAAGTTCGCTTAAATTGAGTTGTAAACCATAATAGGAATATGAATAAATTTCTTAAAAACAAACATTTGTGAAATAAAATTGAACAGCGCCGTTCACTTTTCATTTCAGTCCCTTACTACTGTACTGTCGAAAATAAAAAATACATCACTTCGACTCGACTTCGGTGGAGTTCGGTGACTGTACACTGCTTGTATATTTATTTATGTGTAGTATTCAAAATTTATGCCTATAGCTATAAGACTGTTAACAGAAAATATAATAGTCACTACACTGATTTTCTAAGGTTTGTTTAGTCAACAGCAACAAACTAGTGCTGCAACTTCTTTTGATGGCGGGCCAGTACAAACTAAGACGTTTAGTGTTTTGAACACATATAAAGTGAATTATCAGTCAAATCATGTTGCCTCCGTTCTTTTAAAAATATATGGAATTATCTATTCAGAATGTTACGCTCACATTTATTTACAGTTATCGGTGAAATCGACCGCAGAAAGCAAACTCACACCTTAACTAAAGTTTTTGAGCATTCCAGATATCATACAAATTATTTTCAACCTAAAATAAAACTCAAACTCAAATAGATCGTAATTCACACCAGTTTGAAATTTTATTTCGCAATTCTGCGCAACATTTACAATATTTAGTTTGGTTTCTATATTTAGACTTATCGCAGCTTAAAAGTATTCGTAAATATTCCATTCCATTCCATGACAATCGCATTCAATATCTCGCCAGCTCTTATTTTTATCAAACACTATTAAAGATTATGCCAGAGTTGCATGCCACCTCCACAAATTCTTCTTACATCCCGTGTGTTTTTTCTTATGGGTTAGCATTTATATAGCTAAAATAAGTATTTACAATAATTGAAATTGCAGAAATACTAAATTTTAAGATTCTTTGTTTATTTTTTGATTTCGTTAAAAAGTATATTTAGCATTTACTTACAGCCTTGTTCATAACATATACATACAAATCCTTAATTGTTAAGATTTCAACTCATATTACTATATTTTGGTTAAATATATATCTATGTATGTGTGTATGTAAACACAATTGTTATATTTAAAACGTAGCTATCATCTCTTAACGGTTATACAGACACACTCAACTACATGCTTAGGCACGTAAGTACACACGGTTGCACATGCTCATCGCTAATCATTTAAATCGGTAAACGTAGGGGCTCAGCAGGTTTACAAATTTAAATGAGTATTTGTTAATTTTCTTTCTACACTTTCACACTATAATTTCAAGTGCATTTTTTTTTTTTCTTAACTATAAAATCGTATAATTTCATTTTTAAATAGGTTCCATTAAAGTTAGTATTTGAACAATCTTACATAAGTGTTAAATACGAACAAAATATTCTAAGAGTAAACCCGCGCTTACGTCGACACTTGGTTTTAAGTCGTCTAGTGTGTAAGCCATCAGATTTATATGTTTATTTCCACAAATTATTATTTCTATTTATCCTAGCAAAGGCTTACTTAGTCGCAATTACTATGAACAGTTTACTGCAAGCTTAAATATATTTTTAAAGAAATGTGCTCATGTCACTATATACACAAGTAGCTGTAATTGTGCTGCATGTGGTTTAAGGCTATCCATTAAATTAAGCCTTCAGATAACAAAAGGTCTGTTGCGTGTGACAAGTGATATATATACATTTGAGTTGGTAGCTTAAATATTCTAAGGTATTTCACATATACATAATAACAATGACAAAACGTATAATAAAAGGTGCTTAATAGACATCGATTAACTAATTTCGAGCTAAGCATTTACTTAATATATGCCTGTAGTATGTACAAATATTTTTATTTTTTCACAATTTTTATGCTTTTGAATAATCTTATATTTATATTTCAAATATGCTGTGTAAAAATATACTTTAAATACCTACGTATTTCCGCCACTAATTACTCGTATGTGTACTTAAACCGAAACTTTCGCGCGCTCACCTTCCTCATTTAGCACTCTAACCTCATTCCTAGCCACCTCTTGTGCGGCCACCACAACCACAACCGACTCTTCGGCTATAATATCAATATTCGTTTTGTATTCACTACGCCGTCGCGTTTTATTCGCCACATCAGTGGCCATTGCACCATTTCGCCATTTTTTCGCGCCGCCAGCAGCAGCGCTGCGAAACGGTACCCACATCACCATTTACTAGAGCACAGTCTCATTAGTGCTGGTGCAGGTGCGTGGTCCATTGACAATGGAATATTTCGATGAAGCATCCTTTTTAGTGAGAAAACGTTCGAAAAATATATGCTTGAAGGTTTCACGAAATTGGCGCGACATGCCGCAGTAAATGCCGAAGTTGATCGGATAACTGACTACAAGAAAGAAGTTCGTAAACATAATGGATATATTGGCCATGCGATAATTTAGAAATTCGCCCATTAACGAGGAGAAGATGTGCAGTACCGTCACCACGGCTATGGGTATCTCAACAGCTAAAAAGACCGAGACGACCGTAATCAACATGTATGTGGTGCAATTGCTGTCGCGCACCTTGCGGCTCTCTACTTTCTTATTATCGCGGAAGAGCGCTTTGCGTCGTTCCTTAGCTTCTTCCATTGCTTGCCAGAGCAGCACATTCAGCGTGACGAGTAAGATGCACGGTACCACATGCACAAACACTACTCGAAATAGAAAGTATATGGAAAAGTAGAGGTCTTCCCCGATGTAATTGAATACCCATGCGGAGGTTTCCACATGGCACACCTCAGTTTGCTGGCCGTTCCACTCGATTGTGATCGGGAAGTAGGTGCGATCGAAAAACCGGGTCAGCTGATGCAAGAAAGCGGCGATGGCGATGTAGATTGTTGATCGTCTGACCCGTGGCATGGTGCACCATGTACGTGCCATGGGAGCGTGACACACGTAGATGTACCTATTGAAAAGTCGAAAAGAGGTTAGTATCAAAAGTATAAGATGTGAATTTAATATGGAAGGTTATGTTAGGCAATTTTATTAAATTATTGTAATAAAAATCATAATCCATCTAACAATATCTTCCTTAGTACGCGTAATTTGATTTATACATTATTTTACAATAGAAACTCATTTTTGATAATGAAACGATCTAGAAATCATAATATTAACGGCAAGTTCTATCTCTTAAATACAAAACTATCAAGGTTCTTCAGAGTTCTAGAGGAGATGTCAGAACAAATACGCTGGAGCAATTCAAAAAGGACTGTACACAATATGTATATACAAATAATAATATTATATCAAAAATGAAGGAATAATTCGTATATTATCTAAAAACTTAGAGTAACTAACATATATCCACAGATAATATACCTAGGTGCAAAGAACGAACAAAGTTTTTATGAATGCCTTGATTTTATGCGACTAATCGAAAGGGACAGATATACCATAGTCAAGGTTAATCCGTCAGATGTAAGTGCGTATTTTTAAACTGAAACATCGGTTAAAAGCGAGAAGTGAGTACACAAGAATGCTTAATCCAAAAATTCCTATATTTATAATACGTAGACACATATGGTGCATGTCTTTGTTTTCCGTCGAGTAATACGAACTTTTATTATTTACCAATCTATATAAGATCTTAAGATAAAAACCAAAGCTTTGGGCTTGTGAGTTAACATTCTCAAAATAAATCGAAGAGATCTGATGAAAAACATCACTTTATAAGTATTTCGACTCGAATTGCACATAATACTTGGGGTATATTAGTTTTAGAGACTTTTGAACCGGTTCTGATGTAACCGAACATTTTATACTCTCGCAAAGTCAAATAGTATACTCGTTTGAGATTTCTTTGTGGATTGACAAATATTGTCGGTAGAAGGTCAACTATAGGCACTGGGGTCCACATATTTAGTACTTCGGGGCTTGAACAGTTTTGGTTTGACTTAGACAATTTTTGGCCACAAGGTGGCATACTTTAATCGCATTATTCACGCAAAGTTTTATCCCGATACAGTCATTGTTGCCTGATTTGCATAGTGGAAAGTGAAAGAATCAGATGGAATTTAAAATAGTGTTGTATGGGAAGTAGGCGTAGTTGTAGTCCGATTTCGCCCATTTCCGCACTATAACATAAAAATATGAAAAGAACGTTATGCACCGAATTTTTTTGAAATCGGTTAAGCAGATCTTAACATATGGGTTTTCACCTAAAAGTGGGCTGTGCCACGCCCACTGTCTAATTTTGAACGCGGTTCCTATAAAGTCATTTCATACCATCCCAGAGATAAAATTTAATGTCTCTGGCGTGTTTAGTTTAGCTTGATTTATCGCGCTTTTAGTAGTTTTTAACAGTACCGTTATATGGGCAGTGGGCGGAATTGCCACCCGATTTCACCCATTTTCACACCGTAGGTAGAGGTTCTAAAAGCATTTACTTTCAGTGAATTTTGTTATTATTGCATTAGCGATTTAGGAGATATGCACATTAAACCTATTAGGGGCGGGACCACGCCCACTTTAAAAAAAATTTTAACTGCAGATGCCCTTCCCTATTGTGATCCTGTATACCAAATAAGAGTCTTGTATCTTGTTGTGGAGCTTAGTTATGGCAATTTATTTCTTTTTGAATAATAGCGTTTTGTGGGCGTGGCAGTGGTCCGAATACGCCCATCTGCAATACCAACCATATCACGGTATCAAGAAACATGTCTACCAAGTTTCATAAAGATATCTCAATTTTTACTCAAGTTAGAGCTTGCACGGACGGACGGACGGACAGACAGTCACCCGGATTTCAACTCGTCTCTTCATCCTGATCATTTATATATACATAACCCTATACCTAACTCGATTAGCTTTAGGTGATACAAACAACCGTTAGGTGAACAAAACTATTATACTCTGTAGCAACAGGTTGCGAGAGTAAAAAAAAAACAAGTAAGGAAATGGTGAGTTCAGGTGTAAACGAACATTTTATACTCTCACAATTTATGTGGGTCAAATCAGTAAATAGGTATATTGTCAGATGTTGATAAAATTTTGTATTAAACAAGTAAGAAAGGGCTAAGTTCGGATGTAACCGAACATTTTATACTCTCACAAAGTTAAATAGTATATTCGTTTGAGACTTCTTTATATATTTTAATAATTAGAAGTAGGAACTGTTGTCTTAGTTATTTACTTTTCACTCACAGTGAAAATAATTAGAGCAATTTGTAAACTAAATTTACTCAAATTATGAGAAATCGTTCTTGTGCTTTTTGTATACGCTTATAGTTGATTTTATATAGAATGCATTACAACTGTATTGAGAAGGATGAGAAGAAATCGTTTTTGAACAATGAATAACATTTTTTATTTATTATATCGATATTATTATACATGTTTAGCTTAAAAATAATAAATATTAACAACTTTAAAAATGATATAATTTTATTATATTAATTTGTATATAATATTTACAATATTAAACATAAATTTTTGTAGAGATTCTTATACATATATCCGAATAATATATCTTTTTTCCTTATACTATTTAATTTCTATCATATATTTATACAATAATGTCATATATAATAACAAATTATATATATAATTTAAATTTTCTTAATTAGATTATTTACATATTTTTCTTAAAATTGTCTTAAAAACTACTGTCAAAATTCCTATACCATTCCAATTCGATTATATTTGGAAAAAAATAAAAAATGAAGAACTATTGCACTAAGTCTGAAAACTTTAGTTCGAAATAGAGACACAAATGCTGTCATGATAGCTGTGTACTGTCTCAAAAGTAATTGCATTTACACGGTAAGGATCCATGTTTGAAAATACCCAATCAATTTGTGCACCGGCAGGTGTAGTTGAATATTCTGCACCAAGCAGGGAACTAAAGTTTTTTTCTTGGAGCAGATTTCTTATTGCAGTCCCTGTAGACATTAATCAAACGTTAAAATCTCCAACAACTAGCACATTTTGATTGCCTAACTCAGAAGTACGGACTTCCGGAAGTTCTACAATTAATTGTCTGACAGAGAAAGCTGAATTTCTATATAGAACCAGAATATTAATATTGAAACATTTAAACAAAACCGCTTCTAAAACTTTGCGGCCTGAATAAATTTTCTTTACAGCCTTTGATTCTATAGAGCAAGCAATACTATTACTATTATAATGCCCCGTTTATTTCCTGATGTTCGGGAAATCATAAAATTGAAACTTGTTGTCAAAGCTTTATTTGTGTTCAATTCCCTCAGTTCCCTAAATACGGGATCCGATTCAGAAAATTTGTTAGGAGGAATAAAATTTCTACTGTTACTTCTACATTCTGGGTCGAGTATGAACTACAACTTTATTATATGTGGCACCCTGACTTTTATGAATTATTTAGTTATTCCCTCAGCCGAAACAACTGGAAACTGATTTCTTTCAATTGAAATTTGTTCATTTCTTTTATATTGAAAAGATTTTAGAACTTTTTCAATTGGTGTCCAAGAACTTTCTTGAGGATGAGGCTTTTTTGATAGTGCTATCAAATCAACAGAAGGTTCCAAAAATTTTATCCACAGAATTGTTGGAAAAGAACCATGAAAATCAATTTGCATAAGTTGTCCAGCTGCCCCATTAACCAAGCCATCACACGTGTTTATGTTCACTCTAATCAAAAATTTGGCGGAGGTTTTTAGTGTCAATTCATAGGGCAGTCCCTGCGTTTCAGAAGTTTTGAAAAGTTTAACTCTTTCCAAAATATTATCATTTTCATTTATACCAATTCCTTTAACTGAGTCTTTTGCAGTTGAAAGGAAAGCTTCTGTTGGGATTCGACTGAGCTTAAGGGCATTGAAATTATTTGTCTCTTCATTGGACCAGATAAATGTATGGCATTATCGGGAACTTCTTCGAAACTAACTACTCGAGTTTCAATGAGTGATATGTCCTCATTTGTCATAGTACCAGATGCCACATGATTTAATGCAATTGCAAAGGCCTGATCCTCCCGTTGTCTCATTATCTCTGTTAATTCAAAGTACTTAAATAACTCTCACAAAGGGGAACCAACTAAAGTGATGTATGCATCATTGAGATTAGGAGAGAATATCCACCTATCTCCTACAGGTGAGAGTTGCTTCAAATCACCAAATACTATGATCGGTATACCACCGAATAGGCTGTCTGTTTTGAAAACTTGTTTTAATCTCGCATCAACAGAGCTAAACATACGAGCACCTACCATCGATATTTCATCAATTATGATTAATTTTAAATCGATAAGTCTGGAATACAATGAATTCAGTGTGTCATTGCTAAGTGGCCTCAACTCTCTATTCAACTGATTTACAGGTAAAGAGAATATTGAATGAAGGGTCATTCCACCTATTCCGAATGCTGCTTTACCCGTAGGTGCGCAAAGAGGAACTTTTAAGGAACTTGGATTGAATCCAGGTGTAGAATTGTAACGATGGTTAAGAGCTTGATATATTGCAGATATCAAACGACTCTTTCCTACACCTGCACCGCCGCCAATGAACTCGTAAAATGGGAGATTTGTTTTTAGGTGGTACATCAAATGTGTCAAATAGGTTCTTTGCTTAGTATTTAGACTTTGAACTAAAGAAAATAATTCCTCAACTGGAATTAAAGGGGGTAGTTTAATAAGTCTAATATTGAAATCAAATTCAGTGCCATTATCTGTTGAATCTTCGCCATGCAAGTCCAGCAAATTTATATTTGGGTTTATTTCTGGAAGTGCCAACACTCTGAACTCATTTTCCACGATAGGTAGTTCATTTTGAGCACCTTCGTCCAAGTCTATTTCATTATAAAGACTTTCTAGAACATTTTCAAGTTCTCTTTGCTCAAAAACATCATATTTTCTTTGATTTTCCTCAATTATAATACGATGTGTTATGCAAGTCTGCTCATTATCGTTTTCAATGAGATCTTGCTGTTCAT